AGACTCACAAGAGATTAAGAAGCAGATCTTGGCAACTAATCAAGAAGATCGCCAAATTCTTGTTAATCAAAAGGGCATTCAGTCAAACTTGTATCTGGTTTCCCACGACAACACAGATATTTCTTTTGCTACGAATGACTTGTTGCAAGAAACCACAGATCATATTAATCTAGTCAAAAATGAAAATGAAGATACAATAGTCTCAGTTGATACCACGCTTAGTGATCAAGTAATCACTGTTCTTGCCAATGATCTGGAATATTTACAACCAGTTGTAAAAGAAGAATTTGAAGAAGTTCTGCAGAACTTGTCCATCAAGGTAGATATGCCAGACATCAACCTTAAATTATGTGCAGAAGCCGCCCACCCAGTATTGCCGCCGTTGTGGTTGAATGGACCACGCCTGAAAAGACAATTAGATGAAAATAGATCGCATAGCGGAAGAATTCAAGCTGTATCGCCAGATTTGGAAGGAAAGCATCGTCAGTTCCGTGAACTTGACGTCATTGATATTTGGTTACAGAACCTCGCCAGCCGTAAGAAACATGACCAAGAGATTCAAGATGAAGTGGAACTCAGAGAGAACCCCTTCAACTTCTTTGCTTCATGTTTGCGACTAGAAGTCCCCGCAAACAGATTGAGATTTCTCAGAGGAGAGTGTACCGCTGAGGAACCTTATGTAACAGCTGATGAACTTTAGTTCAAGAGAATCGCCCCACCATAGTGACACTGATGTGTCGTACCCCTCTGTGGCGGGCAGAGTAACTCTACAGTCAGAAATTTAGAGAAATTGAAACTTTGCAGTATTTTCACTTCGTTTATGAAGGTATCAAAACCAAGTCTGACACTACACTAATGAGCTTGAAGAAAACCCTTGTTTATAAATATCTCAAGGATGAAATTATAGTCGTGTACCACAAGTAAGGTACATGTTGAAACATGTTGAACATCCTGAATTAATAATTAAATTGTTCATTTTCAAGTATTTGGATGAAGTCTCACAATGGGATGATGTGAGCGATAGAAAAGTGAAATGGAAAAAAGGAGTTACCGTTTATATGAAGATTTGGAGGATGATTTACCTGAGATGTTTGGACTCAGGACTTTAGTAATTCAACAATATATTGTGCGGATTAAGTACCCTCCAGAAAAGAAATTTTGCCCAGACTTCATAAGTCGTCATCCCGCTTCTGACGCCGAAGACGACTCTGACAAAATTTTAACTGTTCACGCACCAAAATGTGTACCTTCGGGAACAAATCCAGCCAAAAAGGAATGCTCCCCACAAAAGAAATTTTAAGGCCAGCATTTAATGCTTCATTCTATGAATGAATCATCTTAGGATGGGCCTATGTGACGATCTGAGGCTGGAGTTTGTAAAATTTCTTATATCGTAAAGCCGCCCTTGGAAACCCTTGTATAAAAACTCCTTTCCCTCCCCTCAAGTTGCCCCGAAGTCGCTCTGCACCAGTGAGTTCCCTTGTGATATCACATTCCTGCACCAGTTCGCTCACCCCCCCCCCCCCCCCCCCCCCCCC